TTTTTTTCCTCCATTTCCTCTTCAGAAATCACGAAAATGGCATACGCGCGCCCCCGCTTTTGAGATGTCGCCGCCATCACTACCGTGTACACGCAGGTACCTCGGCGTCAGTTTGCTGGCCTCCGGTAGCTTCCACCGAGGATAAGCCTGCGGCTCCCCTACCGTGCACTGCTAAGTTGACGGCGCCACCTCAAATAAGGGGGTGCGGCTTTTCAAAAGCAGAAAAACCTAAATAGTAATCAGACAAGGCCAGAAATCAATTAAGGGGGAATAATACCATTCTTCAAGAGACAATATTTTTGTTATTAAATTCGTACCGCATTTAACCAAGGTACATAAAATTAAGTAAATAAATCAAACACTTATTTCATCCCGAAAAAAACCAATAAAAAAAAAACCTCCCATAATTACGAGTGTAGATAAGGCTAAAAACCGAAAGGTCCACTGATTAATCTCAGATAAGAATGTATTATACTATCTTACATAAGGCTAAACAATGCAATATAGTATCCGGTTTACCGGGACACGTTCAAATGTGAACTACAATCTAGGAATGAGTTACTAGTAGGAATTACGAGCTCAAACAATTGTAGGCCTATGTCTAAACCTATATCGCTAAATCCCCTAGGTTGGTACAAGATGGTATGCAATGAAGGTAAAGGTAAATCGTAAAGGTAGGAACTCATTCAACAACTTTCTTCTTCCCCAAGTGTGTCATCATGTCCAATCAGCTACCAAGAGGCACACTTTCGTCTGTCCACAACGACAGGTGGTGAATGGACCAGTACATCGGGGTAACCCTCTCTCGAAGGATGTACAGTACGGTACTACTGGGGTCTTTAAGTGCACATGAGCCAATAGTGTACACTGAACCTAGGTTTAGAGTCCTTTCCTGACAAGATGTTCCACTACCATAGGCGTGCCATGTTTGAACCAGCGCCCAGGGGAGGATTTAGTAGGGAGTAGGAAGGCGGGCCGCAATGCAAGCAGGCCGGCCCTTTTGGAAAGTAAAAAAATTGACATGCAATTCAGCTTATGCTGCCATTTGATATATAAAACCAATTTAGGCTTTTTATCTTTCGTGGGGAACACCCACCTTCATTCAAACAATTTTACATAAATTCTTCATCATTATTTACAGCTTAATTTAGGCTTATTTGGTCCTCCTTTTGTTACATTCCCCATTTTTTGCTTACTATGATCACTTTACTTTTCTTGCAATTTTCCCCCAAATTTTGTTTACCAAGAAGTGAATTTTCTGTTAATTGTTATATGTTCAAAAGGAAAATATATTTTAATTTCATATGATAAACATTGAATTGTATTACTCAAAGTACATATTAACTACTCATGTTATTAGTTAACAATAATTGTAAGATCACGAAAAAAAAATTAATACGAAATAAATTCGTATTGATGCTTATTGTAACCATGGGGGTATAAACTTACAAGTATACTAATTGTATATGTCAACCTATCTATTATAATTGTGAAGCTCTCTCTCCGTCTATCAGCACACCTGCTGGACATTCCTCGCACCTGTTTGATATTAAACAGTTTAAGGTTACCTAGACTAATATCACTAATATATGTACTTATGACGCACCAGTACTAAAATGTAATTAAAATAATGGGTCAATAATAATATCATGTATTTTAAGTAGGCCTATAGTAATAAATATCTGGCTAATAAATTATAAGAACTATACAGTATAAATATAATGATAACTGTATACCTGACACATATATAATTAGGTCTATATGTGTAGATTAAAAGGCAAAAAAAACCGAAGAACGCAAAAATGGCTCGTTTTAGATAGAGATAAAAATTTGATAAGCAACAGCTAAAGTGTAAACGTAAGTCAACAGAGAAATAGAACCAGAACTTTCGGACATCATCATCTGTGTCAAATGAGGGTAGAAAAAGCAAGGTAGTAGCCCTATATAGTCAGGCATGAATGGTTAGAAACAATAGGCTATAAGAAGTGGCAGTAATATATATA